GAATGGGTTGGCTTCCTTTAGCACATCTGAGGTCACAAGGAAAGGCATCCTACTCTGCATATCTCTTGCTTTGAGTTTAGCAGCCAGAAATGTTCCCACCCTATGTACATGAGAATAGTAAATCTGTTTGAGTCTATGCATGGTTCAGGCAGTGTAGGGTTATTACCCTACACTGATTCAAGGATAAATCTGACTGCCATTCTGGGGTCAAGAAGGATTTATTTCCCTAGTTTGTTGCAAAACTGTTTGTTTTTTTGCCTTCTTTTGGATCAACAGCAAAAAGCAAATGTGAGGAAGACTGAACTTGATGGACACAAGTCTCTTTTCAGCTATGTAACTATGTAACTATGTTCAGGAGAAACAGGGCTTTCATTTTACATCAAATATTCATACATGAAACTATTTAATATGAATACAATCTAATATATTTTTGAGAAATTATGACATGTGGTTATTTTTTAAGTTCTGCATGACATTTTAACTGTGAATGTCATAATACACATATTTGTATTCAGTGATGTCTCATGAGTACAACAGTACCCAACATGTAGAGGTTTTATTGGGTTTTGGAAAGTCACAGGGTTAAATATAGGGCTTTCCCTTTTTGCAGTTTTTACATATTAACATTTGACAGATTGGTTTGCCAGGCCTTTAAAACAGTATGGCAGCCCAGGAATGAAAATGAACCCCACCATGGAATACCATTTGGAAAAGTAGACAACCCAGATTATTTAAAATGGGGTATATCGGGGCGGGGCCTGTCCTCTGAGCTGAGCAGATGCTAGCTTCTGCAGTCCTACTCTTTGTGGCAAATAAAGCAGATTTGTGCTAATATTTTTGCGATTACTTGACACATAAAGGCAACTAAGCGAGAGGTGATACTGAGGTAAACATGATGATACCACTCAAGCAACTGTTCAAACAGCCATGGCCTACAAGCATGGCTGGTGCAGGGGAGACGGCCATTCTCCCGCTACCACAAAAGCCCGGGAATCCGAATTTGGGCCCCTATCCTTCTCTCTGGACCAGCGGGGATTATCACGGTCTACCCTCGGGTGATTCCCCCACAATATGGTGAGAACACGACACTATCAATGAGACTCAAGACCAGTTTCAACAATGCTTACAAAATGGCAAATGCCTCCTGTTCCCAGGGCCAGATTAAGAGGCCAGTGGGCCTGGTGCTGACAGTTGAGGGCCTAAGTACAGAATCTTATCGATGAAAAACACTAAAACATTCATACCTCGCAAGCGTTAAGTATCTGGTGGAATGTTGCCGCAGGGTAACTCATAGGATGCAGCTATAAGAAAACTCAGATTCTCTTAAAATATGCTAATCTCTCTCTAATTCATGCTTTCATCTTTACATAGAAACATAGAATGTGACGGCAGATAAGAACCATTCGGCCCATCTAGTCTGCCCAATATTTTCAAAATACTTTTAATTAGTCCCTGGCCTTATCTTAAGTCTAGGTTAGCCTCATGCCTTTCCCATGCATGCTTAAACTCCCTCACTGTGTTAACCTCTACCACTTCAGCTGGAAGGCTATTTCATGCATCCAATACCCGCTCAGTAAAGTTATACTTCCTGATATTATTTTTAAACCTTTGCCCCTCTAATTATGTCCTCTTGTTGTGGTAGTTTTTCTTCTTTTAAATATAGTCTCCTCTAGAGTTGAGCGGACAACTGGATGTTCAGGTCCGGCGGGTTCGGCCGAACTTTTGAAGTCAATGGGGACCCGAACTTTTGGCCACAAAAATGCCTCTAAAAATCTACTGGAAAGGGCTAGAGAGCTGCAAAAGTAAAATTGGGGGAAGAGTAGGACAAGTGCCCTGCAAATAAATGTGGATAGGGAAATCACTTAAAATAACATAAAATAGCACCAGATGGAATCTTTGATTTTAGCTTTGGAAGAACATAAATCAAAATCTAAAGCATAGCTGTCAGGAGGATCACCAGAATTATCCATTTGAGAAAGGGTATTCTCTTTCACTGTTCAAACGGAGCTCAACTCCTGATGCATGGAGAAAAGGCCTTCACAAGCCTCTGCTATCATGTACATAGGTTATACTACATGACCCATAGGTTGAGGAGGCGGTGACCGTGGCGGTGTATGTGGAAACGGCGGTGGAGGAGGAGGAAGAGGAGGTAGCCAACACTATTATTTATTTATTTATTTATTTTATTGGGGTAGCCCCCAAAATATTGGGACATATAAAAAAAAGAAACATTTGCGGCCTGCGGTGCATTTCTTGTTATTTTTTTTATACTACCTGTAAGTGGATCCTCCATTGCTTCCTGCAACTACACAAAGAAGGGTGGTGCCTCCCTTAAAGGCAAAGAGGTGTATATATATAGAGCCTATATTATCGGCTCTATTTCAGGTGAGCACTCATATGCACTTTATGTGATCATTCTCCTTTGCATATAGATCTGCACTAGGAATTCTACCTCTTTTTTCTTCTATATACCCTGTGAGCTGTATATCGGGAGAAGGTCTGGTATTACCTCAATATACTCAAGCTACTGTGATTAGAGCCAATCTTTAGGCTCTGTACCATGTGAGTTGGACATACATTCTCTTCCACTTCCTACATATTCTACTTGCATACTGCACTATGATGTGTATTATCTTTTTGTTTTAGATTCTATATGTTGTTTATTCCCCTAAGTGAACTATTATTGTAATAGGGGTAAGATATTCATTTATCTTAAAGCGCTCCACTGAGTGATCTCTGTTGGGGGTAGTATCACCCACTAAGTTCACACTCTTTTTCACTGTTTTTTATTTATTTTTGTAATTTTTTTTTTTTTAATTGGGCTAGCCCCCAAAATATTGGGACATATTAAAAAAAAAAAACATTTGCAGCCTGCGGTACATTTCTTCCAATCCTGATGCATCGAGAAATGCTCAACTCCTGATGCATGGAGAAAAGGCCTTCACAAGTCTCTGCGATTCTGTACATAGTTTATACTACGTGACCCATAGGTTGAGGAGCCGGTGATCGTGGCGGTGTAGGTGAAAGCAGCGGTGAAGTAGGAGGAGGAGTAGACAACACTGTTTTTTATTTTATTTTATTTTTTATTGGGGTAGCCCCCAAAATATTGGGACTTATAAAAAAAAAAAAATTTGTGGCCTGCTGTGCATTTCTTGCAGTCCTGATGCATGGAGAAATGCTCAACTCCTGATGCATGGAGAAAAGGCCTTCACAATGTCAGGATTACTAGTTGATCCAGCACGTAGAATTGTGTCACACAGATGACTAATTGGTAATGTATTACCGGGCCTTAGAATGGCCGGACTTAACGTACCAAAGAGTAGACAGGATACTTGCCGAGGTCAGGGGATACAGAAAGAGACACAGCAATAAGGGAAAGCCAGAAGTCAGGGATACCAGAATACAGGGAAGTCAAAATCAAAGCCAAAGTCAAAAACCAGAAGAAACTTGAATCAGGAACGCGCTCTCGGACAACCACTAGGGAAACCACGACAGGGCACTGAGCAGGATGAGAACTGGGCCTAAATACCCCTCCTCTTGATCTGATAGGCTGTAATTGGCCTTTGACCCCAAAAGCAGTTACTATGTTTCATTTACATAATTGCTGCTCAGTAGTGATGTCCCGAACGGTTCGCCGAACGGTTCGCCACGGATGGCGAATATATGCAGTAAACTTTGACCCTGTACCTCACAGTCAGCAGACACATTCCAGCCAATCAGCAGCAGACCCTCCCTCCCAGACCCTCCCACCTCCTGGACAGCATCCATTTTACATTCATTGTGAAGCTGCATTCTTGTGAGCTATCCAGGAGGTGGATTTGGTTGCTGCTCGGCACAACTTTTCCTGTGTGGACAGTAAATGCCATTAACCACATTTTTATAAGCAGATGAATACGTGACACACAAGCCTCTGCTATTGTGTACATAGTTTATACAAAGTGACCCTTAGGTTGAGGAGGCGGTGACCATGGCTGTGTGGGTGGAAGCGGCGGTGGAGTAGGAGGAGGTAGCCAACACTGTTTTTTATATATATATTTTTTTTTAATTGGGGTAGCCCCCAAAATATTGGGACATATAAGAAAGACAACTCTGTTCCGCAGAGCAACTGACCCATGTGTGCTGCAGCTGAAACTCCACTATCGCCTGCTGCTGCTCGCACAGTCTCATGAGGCGGTGAGCAGGAAGTCACCGCCTCAGGTGAGCAGCAGCAAGAGATGAGGAGGAAGTGCGCAAGGAGGTGTAACGGCGCCTGGCATATTACCGAGAGCGACCCTCAGAGGAGATTGTCAGCAGGACCTTTTTGGAGGTGCAAGCCTATGTCCCTGCCAATAGAGAGAGGGAGACCTCCATGAACCAAGATGAAGGAAGAAGGGAGCAGAGGGCACCGGGAAGCACAACCACCCTGGCCCACAAGCTACCATACAATGCCTTCAAAGACTTCAAGGAAACAGAAGAAGGCAACAATGACTTTTTACAAGACTTTGAGTGCCAGTGCTACTCCAAGACGTGGACCCCAACGACTTGTTCAACATCCTGGCAAGTAAGCTAGTAGGGAAGACAGCGGATATTTACAGGCCTGTACCAGAAGAGCAGATCAGAGATTATCCCTTTATTACCCAAATCCTCCTGGCCTGGTATGCAGTCACCCCCGAGCAATACCGCCGAAAGTTTAGTGAGACCCGGAAAGGGGAGAAGGACTCCCATGCAGAGTGGGCATGCCGCGTCACAAGGGCCACCCAGAACTGGCTCAACTCCCATCAAGCCAAGTTCCCGGAGGAGATCACCCAGCTCGTCATGCTAGAGCACTTTTTCAATGAGCTCCCCGATGACAAGGCGAGGACGCATTCGTATGTCATCCATTTCAAATTTCAATGCCACTTACTGCGCCTACCATAGTGCCCTCAATTCCTGAGAGGGAGCCTGAGAAATGGCTACCACATGCAAGGAAGGCATCGGGCGCGCAAATGACCCACCCCGATGCGGGAAGGTAGTGACGACAAATAACAATACAGGACTCTTTAGAGGCCCTGTAATTGTAATGAGTCCACTTGAAATCCTTTAACTCTGATCAATTGGAGGGCAAGTCTGGTGCAGAGCAACTGACCCATGCGTGCTGCAGCTGAAACGCCACTATCACCTGCTGCTGCTCGCACAGTCTCTCCATTATGTGCAAGGTGGAGTTCCACCTTGTGGGCACGTCGCATATGAGGCGGTGAGCGGGAAGTCCAGCAGCAGCAGGGTGACAGGCGAGCAGCAGCAGGGTGAGAACGCCGACAGGCGAGCAGCAGCAGCAGGGTGAGAACGCCGAAAGCGCACACAGCCGCTACAGTGAATGCCACATCCTGTTCCAAGTTGCGTATCAGTCTGGTGATGGCTTCTGGTATCCAGTACTCTTTTTACTGAAGATGCATCAGGGTCCTGGTATGTGGCAGCACTAACGCTGGTGCTCAACACCAGGGGGCATGTGGTTACCCTGCACCAGACCCTGCTAATCCATTCCACACAGTGACTCCTAACTTCAATATCAGGTATACTGGGTTCCAGTTGTCCGATCGCCGCTCAGACAGTGTCTGGGTCCCGGTCACCGGACTGCGAAACTGCGAATGGCTCATTAAATCTGTTAAGGTTCCTTTTATTGCTCCATCTGTTACTTGTATAGCTGTGGGAATTCTAAAGATCATACATGCCGACGATCGCTAGGGGACGGCTGCTCCGCTTTTGCACCCTGCTCCCTCTTATGCTTGCTGGTGCCCCTGTGCGACCATAGCCTCTTCCTCCAAACTGCACATGCCACTCGCATGACCTTGATTCCATGTGGGGGTCTAGGACCTCATCATCCTCCACATCATCTTCCACCCACTCCTTAACCCTGCCCTCCTTGCCAGCCTGCACACTGCAGAAAGCCACAGCACCTGTGTTTTTCCAGCATGTAAAGTCTGCAAAGGACATATGGAAATTGTTTTAGAATTGTATCCAGGTAACAGTTTTCCCTGTAAAATGACCTCTCAGTTTGACTTGTGAGGGTATTGTCCCCGAATTACATGACCGGTGTATAGTCGCCATATGGGCAGTTGGAATCCAGGAAAACCACCCCACATACCTATCCCAATAATGCTCTGACACTAGGGTACATGGGAAAAATTGTCCACAGCTTTATTAAACAATCTCAAATAATAAAAATTAGGATAATTATAATAATAAAACCATAATAACTTAACATATAAATATGGGTCATTGCCCCCATACTCCGCCATTGCACCCGTATCCTTCTGTTAATATAAAAGGCAATGACCCCAATATAAACAACACATATAAACATATATATAACATATACCAACATTATTCTAACATGAACCAACTTAAAGTGCCCAAACATAAATGAACCACCGCAGGGGTATACCTGGATACCCCTACCCCACCAGGTTCTGAGCCACCGACAGGACTCGAAACCTACCAACCACTAATGACCACGATTTTCCATTTACATCATGTTCCTCATGGGGTGCCTATTTCTTCTCCTTCAGTTCCCTATCCCACCACAAGCTCAAACCTTAACCCCTTAAATCTGTCTGAGCTCCGCCACCCCGAAGAAAAAGTACCTTCTGCATCCCCTCCTGCCAACCCAAGTTCAATAGCTCCCATCCCACTGCAGAGAGATGAACACGATCCGGGTGGTAGTACCCCTGCAGCCCACCTTCCAACTCACCGTGCCGCCCAATTTCCTAACAAAGCTTGCCATCAAGCTGTTCACTTTCTTCTTGCACTTGTTGATGGCCCCTGGGTCCCGTGCGTGGCGCCACCGCCACCTCAGGACCATCTCTGACCATACCAGCATCACTCCAGGAAGCAGGTCCCTCAGTTTGTTGAGGTCCTGCTTCATCCACTTCACCAACCGACGCTGCGGTGTCAAGCCTATGTCGTTGCCCCCGGCATGGAGAACCAGTAGATCTGGCCTCTGCCCTCCGGCCACCATCCAGAACACCGCCCTGCAAACATCCCTCCAGCAACCTCCCCTGAATCCAAACCTTCCCACTTCCAGTTGGTCCCTCGGAAAGACCAGCTGCTGGCCTTGAGCTCGAGCTGCAGCCTTCCTTTCGGCCCCCGACGACAAAGGAATGGCCCACAATCCATGCGACATGGCCTGGGGAAGAAATAAACAAACTGTAAGACACCCCCGTTCCCGTCGGGATCCCCAACGGCCCATCTTATTAATCCAATAAGCCCAAACGAACATAGGAACAGAACCTCACAGACTCCCATCTCCCACTAAATCATCCCAGGCGTGTGGCCTCCGTGACTGCCTCGATGCGGAAGGAATGCACCCAAACCTATCCATGTGTAAACCCTGTTTCCCCAGGCCCGACTGAAAGACTTTGGTGAATTGGAACCGGGACAGGGAGGACCCGTCCGCGTGTACCAAGAACGATCCTCTGCCCGCCGGTCTCTTGGCCACGTACTCTGCCACCGCAGCCACTGGCACAGTGCGGAGCCTGGCAGGGTCCCCAGCATCACTTCCCAGCCCACCCCTTTTATGTCTGTCTTGGACTTGGCCAGGTGCACCACCAACCTTCCTTCCAGAACCCGAACTCCCGAAACCTGCAGACCCCCTGAAGCCACCCGAGTGGCACTCACCAACTCCCCAATCCGGAAGGCCCCGAAAAAGGCCAGGAGGAATGCATCCCGGAACAGCGACACCTCAAACCTATTGAAACAAATCTCTGGCAAGATCCGTATTAAGTCCCCCAACATCCGTATCAACACCGGGTGCCTAGTATAGGGAGATCTGCGGCCCCTCCGGTACCCTTTGAGCGCTTGCCTAATGACGAAGGTCTTAGTCAGATCCTCCTTCCCGTGTAGCTTAAACCAGAACGCCATTGCTGCCAAGGACCTGTCAACCACCGCGGGGGACACCTCCCCTGCCAGTAGTCGAAAGGCGAACCACAGAAAGGTGTCAAGGAGCGATTCCCCCACCAACACTCGATCTAGCCCTTTTAACGCATGTTCCCATGAACCCCAGACCTTATTGTAGGCGGTCCAAGTGGCCGGCGCCAGCGAAGCCTTCACCAGTCCCCCAAGCAGGACGCTCCTAGTTGCCATATCTCGTCCGGGCACCTATGGCCCGTTTCCAGTGCCTCCAGGGTCGCCGCCCGGAATCGGGACCACTGAAAACGAGATAAAGCGTCAGCCACCTTATTCAAGTACCCGGGCATATGGCGCGAGCGAAAGACTATGTTAAGCGACATACACATTTAAACAAGGCGCCGCAGCAGCTTAACCATTGGTTTCGATGCCGCGGACTGGTTATTGACTGCATGCACCATGGACATGTTGTCAGAGAAAAAGACCGCCTTCCGATCCCTCAGCCCTTCACCCCACAGTGCCATCACAACAACCAGTGGGTATAATTCCAGGAAAGCCAGGTTACACATGAGGGGGCTCAGACCCCATGCCTCCGGCCACCTTTCCGCACACCATCTCCCCCCAAAGTAGGCCCCAAAGCCCATGCTACCCGATGCATCTGTGAACAGTTCCAATTCCGCCGCCGACACACCCTCTTGCTGGAAAAACACCGTCCCATTGAAGTCCCATACCGCCAAGTCAGCCCGCATGGATGCCGACACCCGAATGAAATGGTGCGGGGAACGCACCCCCGCCGCCACAGTCCCTTTAGTTTTGCTAGCGGCAGCCGACACTCGCCGAACATTGAATCTATCTCCAGCCCCAGGAAACTAAGGCAGTCCGTCGGGCCCTCCGTTTTTTCCGCTGCCAGTGGCACCCCGAAGTGGCCCGCCACTCCGAGGGCCCTCCAACAGCGGTACCGGGAACGGGCCCGCCATCCTGCCCAGCAGCACCTCTTTACTCAGTTTATCCCGCACTATTCCTGGGAACTCCTCCACCGATCTTAGGTTGCGTAGTCCCCCGCCCCAACCCTCTCCTGGAAATGAATAAAGAACTCTTGCCCGAAGCCCACCCTGAGCACATTAGCATCTGCCCTGTTGCCATAGCGGCTTAGCCACAGCTCCATCGCATCTAGCCTCACTAGGGTAGAGACTCCGGCATGGTAGAGACTCCGGCATTCCCCGACTTTCCTCTTTTAAAACATCGGTTGAGCCCGTGGGTGCCGCAAAAGCCTGAGCACTCGTGTTTAAAGCGACAGGTGGCCCCCCATTTGCACTGGCCCTCGTTGAAGAGCCAGCATAAGCCCTTTTGATAGGCGGCCGACGAGGCGGACTGCCACTTTGCACCGGCCGTGTGCTGAAAGGGCTGGGCTTTCTGCGCCATCATTAGTTTCATCCAGAGAGGTAGGTCCATTTAGTCCCACCTCATACTCGGGTTGGCTGCAAGCTGCTGCTGAAACTGCTCATCATAACGCCACCATACCAATCCGCCATAGGTGCGGTACGCTTCCCAAATTCCGTCCAAGTAGCAGAACAGGGAGGAGCATAAACCAGGTGATTTCTCGCCCAATACACTGGCCAGCACGCAAAACACCGTAACCAATTCCCGAAAGATTTCGGTATTTTCCGATACCGCTTCTGTTTCTCTTCCTCCTCCTTCTCCTCTTTCTTACCTTTCTCTTTGAGGTCGATAAATTCTTCCAAAGGGAGAAGGGAAAAGATCTCACAGAATTCACCTTTCCAGATCTTTTCCTTCACTTCCTGTTTGAGGTGGACCCCCAGCAGACCCGCAAAGACACATATACGTGTTGCCTGGCTGCATCGGGGACCCCCCCACAGTCAACTCTGCCTGCTCACTCGCAGTGTCCACCGTCCCAACCGCCGCCCCAGGTCCGTGCTTGAACACAGAGGAGAAGCGTCTCCGAGATCTGCAACGAGCAGAAGAAGTCCTGGGTAAGGTGAACCGTTCCCTTGCTACCCTCCTATTCTGACCCAGGGAGCGCCTGCTAGTCACCAAAGCCTCCCGCTGCGTGTCCTTTTTGCTGCATGCCTTGGAAGTCTGGGCAGCCCCCCCCGGGGACTACGACTCCTACCATCCCTACCCGAGGACCACCCCTGTCTACCATATCTGGGGGCCCTAACCATCTCCCCTGCAGAGCTATCTGAAGTGGATCGGTCGCACCATGACCCACGCCTTGCCCCCCCCAGCCCTCTTGGCCCTAATGGGTGAAATGCCAACACAGCTAGACCCGGAGCCCCCCCTTGGACTACACCCCCCCCAGCTGCCTACATTCCTGGGATGAACCCCACCCCACGCCCGAGGGGGCCCCCCAGCTATCATAACCTCGCTGTGCCAGAATCTCCTGCCCAGCCACTGACCCCTCAGCCGTCCTACTCTCCCTGTGTGTCTCTGACTGCCCCTGGCGTGCAGGCCCACTCCTAACCCCCAAGGAGGACCCCCCCCACTGGGCCTAGAGACCCCTCTCAAACCCCTCAACCCCTTTCTCCACAGACACTGGCCCTCCCCCCCACTGACCCCTGAGCTTGCTTGTGCCTCCCCCAGTGCTCTCCAGTAGGTGCCAGCCTGCTCCCCCCACCTCCCCCCGCCTATTACTCCCACTCCTGGCTCCCCCTTTTCCCAGCTCGCCAAGGGGACCCCTGTCGGAGCCCCCTCTACTCGCCTGCCCTTCTGGGGGCCTGCTACGTGTCATCAGCGGCCTCCGATGGGCCGCGACCCTGCGCCTCCGGTCACTCCAGGGGGCCGCTCAACATCCGCCACAGCCCCCGCTGCCGGCGCGGCCCATCCTGACCTGGGAGCCGCACCGTCTCCAGTCCAGGCAGCTGCCCGTTGTTTGGTGCACGCCCGAGGTCCCAGCAGCGCACAAGGAGGCCGGGCCGCTCCCGCCGCCATGCCTTTTCCGGGGTCATCCCCACCAGGCCCCGGGCTTGACGTAGTGCTCCTCCGAGGCCCCGGCAGTGCGCCCGGGCTCAGCCTCCTTGGTGGCCTCTTCCTCTCCCCTGATCCACCGCCTTCGCCAGGGCCGGTCCCAGTTGGGCCCGCAGCCAATCTGCTCCTTGATCTAAAGCCGTCGATCCCTTCAAGCAGCCAAATCTGCGGGTACAGGAGTGCACACAAACGCAGCTAGGTAGGAAATTAAAAGTGACTGCTCTAAAATGGCTGCCTATTTAAATAGCCAGCCCACTTACCCATAACTCCAATCCCTGCTTCCTTCCTCCTATGCCCGCCTCCTAACCCCTGTCAAGGCCCTTTTCTGCTAAGCTGCACTTTTGCTACATGGGGCTACAATATTGTTATATTGGTATTTGACGATTCTATTTGAATCTCAGATATGAAGTGCACCGCAGGCCGCAAATGTACTATATAGCAGCCCAAAAATTTGAATGTTTAAAAATGCTATGTCACAGCACTATTTGACGGTTCTATCTGACTCTCAGATATAAAGAGCACACCCCAAATCTACTATTTAGCAGTTAAGCACCAAAACAATTAGAATTTTTACAACTGCGCTGTAACCGCAGTATTTGCCGCTTCTATTTGACTCTCAGATATGAAGTGCATCCCACTAATGTACTATTTAGCACCCAAAAAATGTGACTTTTTAAAACTCCGATGTAACCGCAGTATTTGACGCTTCTATTTGACTCTCAGATATGAAGTGCACCCCACTAAGGTACTATTTAGCAGATTAGCACCCAGAAAATAAGAATGTTTACAATTGTGCTGTAACCGCACTATTTGACGCTGTAGCGGAGATGCAGTATAATCCACGATATCTCCGCTGGGTAACCGGAACAACAAAGGATAATCCAGGGAATCAGCATACAATAATCCAAGTAGCACTGCAGTAACCCTTCCTTCCCAAGAACTAGACGACACATAGGCTGGGAGTCAACTGAGGTCTTTTATTTCAGCTCCACAATTTATACAAGTCCCCGTGCAAGGGGTTTCCTGAGTCCCCTTCCAGGGGCATTCCCAGAGGGGACTACATGGGGGACTTACTGTACAGGACATTTCTCCCATCAGGCACTGCTGCACGAGAGGGATCCTCCCACAGGAATTTACCGTTAAGTGGATTATCCCTCCGTGCAGCAGAACCTACTATTAGTATTAAAATGCATAACTCTCTGAATATATGGTCTATTTAAACGAATGGACGTTCGGTAGATAGCTGGGGTCTGAGCGCATCATTCGTGAGATTACCGCTCAGATCCCAGCTAAAACAACCGAACGCTGCACGAAAAACACATTCATTAAAACATATCTTCAAAAGACTGATTGTATGTAAGGGAACAGGATACCGAACGTCCCGGACCTCCCGAACGGCCTGGAAGCTCAGAGGTGTTCGTGCCGTCGAGTAGCCGTTTTTAGTACCATGCGCTCGACGACCAAACACCACTGAGGGAACAAAGGATCCAAGATGGCCGACCGCCGCATGGTCAGTAGTCGAACGAGACCTTGGAGAGCCTCTAATTACCGATTGCAACATTGTTGCAATCGGTTAATAGGCGCCACACGCCTCTAAGTGTGTGGGCTATTAAATGATGGTTTGTTCGGTTCACGAATGGCCCGCAAAGGTGCCGTTCGTGAAATGAAAGGGAATCAGCTATCTGCTTTCGGCAGATAGCCCAGGCAGGAAATACAGTATTACAATTGCATTACATTACATGCTGGAACACATATAACATGAAAACCATACAGGCAACCCTTAAAGCGACAGTACATAAATAATGTCCAAGTGGCTAGGTTTGCCACAGATGCTTCTATTTGACTCTCAGATATGAAGAGCATGCCCAATATGTACTATTTAGCAGTTTAGCAGCAAAACAATTAGAATTTTTACAAATGTGCTGTAAGCGCACTATTTGACGCTTCTATTTGACTCTCAGATATGAAGTGCACCCCACTAATGTACTAGTTTGCAGAATTCTTTCCTAATCTGTCCCTGAAAGCAGCAGCATCCTCTCCCTACACTAATAAGAGCTCACGTGACATGCGGCACTACGTGACTCCAGTTTATATATAGAGGCTGGGTCACATACTGCACTGGCCAATCACAGCCATGCAATTAGTAGGCCTGGCTGTGATGGCTACTAAGGGCACACAAGTCAAATGCTTGTTGATTGGCTGCCCTGCAGCCTTTCAAAACGCGCAATTAAATAGCCGAACACCGAACTCCAACCCAAACATACAGTGATATGTCCGTGTTCGGGTCCGGGGTCCAAAAAACGTAATGTTCGGTACGAACCCGAACTTTACAGTCCGGGTTCGCTCAACTCGACTCTTCTCCTTTACTGTGTTGAGTCCCTTAATGTATTTAAATGTCTCTCATATCCTCCCTGTCTTGTCTTTCCTCCAAGCTATACATGTTAAGATCCTTTAACCTTTCCCTATACAACCAAGCATTCTGCTAGCATTTCCAGCTGCTCTATTACATTGTCTTCCTACCTTTAAGTTATCTGAAATAATTACTCCTAAATCCATTTCTTCAGATGTTGAGGTTAGTAGGGTATCAAATATCCTATACTCTGACCTTGGGTTTTTACGTCCAAGGTGCATTATCTTGCACTTATCCACATTAAATGTCAGTTGCCACAGTTCTGACCATTTTTCTAGTTTACCTAAATCATTTGTCATTTGGCTTTTCCCTCCTGGAGCATCAACCCTGTTACATATCTTTGTATCATCATGTAACCAGAACTTCCGAAATGTATGAACATGCCCAAAAAGGAGGATTGTCTGCCCAAAGAATTGTAAGGCTAGCCTGACATGAATGCATGTCAGGCTGCCCGCCAATCATGCATGCTGGCCAACAGCATCCTGAGCTTGGCATAAATGCGTATAATGATGTGCCTGTTCAATGCTTTCTAAGGACTCACATGTCCACTTGTCTACTTACCATCTTACTAGCAGGCAGAAGCTCATAGTGTACAGTCTGAGACAGGGAAAAGTAGTAAGTGTAGAAGAAAGGGAACATGCCACAGTGTTAGAGAGACCAAAGTCAGCATTACCTTAACTAATTTAATTTCAGCTAGTCCACACAAGTTTGGTTTCCATATATCCTCTTAAGTTTCCATACTTAAGCAAGAGTATGTTAAGAGTAGTTAGGGTTCCCACCTTTCTTGGAAAAAAATACAGGCTTTACTAATTTGCATAACTAATTATATATGCATGACATCACATGATGTAAATCACATAAGAGAAAATGCTGTTAAAATCACCAAAACTACTTACACAGCTTGATTCTGCTGTATAGATTGGTTTTTTCCCAGTGTCTCCCTGTCTCCCAGTGTCCCCATGTGTCTCCCAGTGTCACTAAGGGACACTGTGAGACATGGGTACACTGAGACACTTGGGGACACTGGGAGACACTGATACTATGTATCACAGTGCCCATTGTCTCCAAGTGTCCCCATGTCTGTGTCCCCATGTTGCCCAGTGTCCCCTAGTGTGTGTGTCCCCTTGTCACTAGGAGACACAGAGACATGGGGACACTGAGACACTAGGGGACACTGGGAGACATGGAAACACAATGGACACTGGCTGGGAGACATGCCGACACTGAGACACTTG